GGAAACTGTTGTTGCTCACTGCGAGGTATGATAGGGCTCCTCCTTTGCATATGTCTGGAGGCAAATAACCGGAGAAGTTGTTGTTTGACAATTGAAGCGATGTCAAACCTATGATGTTGTTCATCTCCGAAGGTAACGCTCCAGATAGTCTATTTGTGAATAAGCGAAGGTCGGTGAGTTTCCTCAAGTTACCGAGAGATGGAGGTATCGGGTCTGACAATTTATTCTCATAAAGATGAAGGATATTCAACTTGCACATATTTCCCAAAGAGAAAGGGATAGAACCTGTTAACATATTGCTCGAGAGGTCAAGATTGAAAACATCAATTAGATTTCCAATCTGAGGAGGAATAGAGCCCGATAACTCATTGTCAAAAAGATGAAGGATATTCAACTTGCTCATATTTCCCAAAGAGAAAGGGATAGAACCTGTTAACATATTGCTCGAGAGGTCAAGATTGAAAACATCAATTAGATTTCCAATTTCAAAAGGGATGAAACCCGAAAGATGATTTCTCCACGAGAATAAATACTGTAACTTGGTTAGGTTTCCCAAGGTAGAAAGAAGGGTACCAGTTAGACTATTATTAGAGAGTGAAAAGTAAACCAAGTCTCTTAAATCTCCTAATTGTCGAGGGATGGATCCAGTTAACTGGTTTTCATAAAGAGCCAAGTGATACAGTCTTGTCAGGTTCCCTAAACCGGGAGGAATGGAGCCAGATAGTTGGTTGTCCCCAAGTTCCAAAAATCTTAACTTCTCGAGTCTCCCCAGCTCCCCAGGGATGGCACCCCTAAGCTTATTTTGTCGCAGATCCAAGTGCGTAAGGTCACTAAGGTTACTCAACGATGGAGGTACCGAACTCATTATTTGATTTTGACTCAGGCTTAAGAATTGGAGCCCCTTCATTGAGCCCATCTCGATCGGGATTCTGCCCACGAACAGGTTGCCAGTGAGATCAAGCGTTACCAGCTGCGAGAGGGTGGCGATGGCAGGGGGAATAGTTCCATTGAGCCGGTTGCAACTGAGGTTTAGAGTGGCGAGTGATCCCAACGACGAAAAATTAAATGCATCAAGTGGCCCTGCTAAGCTCATATCTGGCAGATGCACGTCGGTGATGACCAAGCGGCCCTTACGTGTGACGCTGCATGCAACCCCAGTCCAGTTGCAAGGACGAGAGTCGATGTTCCAGGATGCCAGCAATTGCCCACCTTGGAGGGTGGACTTCCAGTGTAATAGAGCCCTCGCTTGGGACCCTAGTGAAGCTGCTGTTACAAGAACAAGAAAAGGAGAGAGCAATACCAGTAGTAGCCAGAGGAGGTTGGTAGGGAGAGAACTTCTGTAGAGTCGAGATGGCATGACGGTGGTGCAGCTGAAGAAGACAGCAGTGCAGAAATGTTGTTGTGGGTTTGAGCAAAGAGATGAGGGAGGGGCCCTTTATTTATAGGTTTTACTCCCCTGACATTTGATGTTCATGCATTAGAGGACACACTGCCTTGTGAATTCTATGCCGTGTTATTCGAGGAAAAAGAAAAGATGGACACAGTGCCTTGCGGTTGCTGCTGCTGCTGCTAGTGAACTTGTGTTTAATCACGTGTCAAATCCCTCATCATGCTCAACCGAATTAATAATTAGCTAGATTGATTGGAATCTTCTACACGTTCAAAATCACCTTCTCGATGACGTGACTCTTTCACAAGACCTGCGCAGACCACTATTGAGCGATTCGATCTTATCAGAAGCTGGTTGAGCGATTCATCTCATCCAAAATTGAGAGTAACATCTTTCATATTATTATTTTTATTTATTTGAGTGTCAGAGGAGAGGATTAAGAGTAAATCGACAAATTAGATGAACAAAGTTTCAATGAAGTGGTCAAGTCATTCGAAAAAAAAAGATTGAAAAGTATAACAAATACAAGAACTGGAAAAAAAAAAAAGACTTACAACATATGGCTAAAGAAAAGTCAAGGCATGCGTGCTGCACGGCATCTCAAGTCAAGTCGAGTCAAGTTGATCTTATCAAGTTCAGTAAGGAGTTACTTTATGAATAAAGTCGACCTTATCAGCTTCAATAATGGCTTCCTTTAAAGAACCCGAGTCATACGAAAAGAAGAGATGATACCAGAGTGATGGTTGGTACTCCTCCAATGATATTATAACGCCTTTGTGTTTCCAACGAAAGATTTGCATCACTTTTATGATAGGCACATCTCAAGTCAAGTCAACCGTATACGTCATCCAACATCACCAGGGTCGTTTGAAAGAGACTTCAGTTAAATTTGACCTCCTCATCAACTTCGTGTTTTGTTTTATAATATTTTAAATTAATTTTTATTTTAAATAGAGGTTAGATTATTTATTCTTGATCTAACTCAAACAAACCCTCGGTTTTCTTCGACTTCAACTAATGCAGTCTAACATTTTTGATATACGGTGAATCAAAAGCATGGAAAAAAGTGACACAATTTGTCGACCCGATCATCGACGATTAGCTACGCGATGCAAATGATGTGGGATAAGTGTACAAACGAACATATCTTGATATAGAAAGCCTTGGGCTTAGTACAATAAAACTTTTGACCTATATTTTAGAATAAGTTGAACTGGGGCAAATCATACTCGATGTGTGCCTATTAAATGAGTCAAATTACACAATGAGATTTGCACCAAGATTGATCGACTCAACATGTCAAAATTGGCAGGCCTAAATGTATAGCAATAGTTTTGGTTCCACAATTTAGATGGTGATATTGGTTTCGTCATAAGAAAAAAATAATATATTAGGATTTTAATAGCATTAAGAGAGGATGAATTAATGTTATAGTAAATTTTAATTGACTTTAAAATTTGACCCAAAAAATATATTGAAAACATGATTAACCAAGTATAAGTATAAGCAAAAATTATGAATAAAATGAGTGATAATAAGTAAGCAATTATGAAAAAATAGTTATAAGTAAGAAAAAACACACAAATTGATTTACATACATCCACTCCCAATTCATCTTTCCTTTATGTCACTGGTTTTTACTATCGTTTTTCTTTCTAATGGATAAAGATCATTTTTTCTTATTACAACTTTCTCCTTTTCTAAGTTTATGAGAGAACATTCACTCAAACTTTATAAGAAACCTCTCATCTCTTATAACTTAATATCACAACTAAATTCAAGAGGAAGATACTAAAAAATTGCTCAAAGAGAGAGCGATAACATTGTAAACTTAGAAATAGATGATTCATCAACTAAGCTTAAGTGGGATATATATAGCCTATAAAATCTTTAAAAATAAAGCTAAATATTTAAGTTCTTTAAATTTTGATGTGCAGACAATACTCGTTAACTTTATACAGTACAACTATCATAACTTTTGACACAAAGTCATAAAATTAAACTTTGACGATCCTACCACTATAATACTAGACTCTAGGTGATACCACTATCATCCTAGGAGATATTACCATCAACATAAGTGATACCATCATTGCAATTATTGACAATGCATAAATAGTGCGTCGATTGACTTAGGCAGTGCCACCACCCCCAAGTAGTTTAGTCTACATGTTTGATCTTCCAATAAGCCTATTTTTGGTCTAAACTCAGGTCTAATGGCTATTGTAAACTTAGGCTCTAACTTAGCCTAATACTAGCTAACATTGGTTCAAAAGTGATATCGACCAAGACTTTCATCAATCACTCATTCGGTTTTTCAAAGCTTTCAACATGTTGTTCACCCTTCTCGCATATTGTATGATCTTCTGACGTGATACATGTTCCTTTTGGTATGATATTTAAACCTCTAGTACGAAGTCCATTCTTCAACATGTCAATCAATCATTTAGCTCGACGTCCAATTTCTAATATGATAATCTTCTAGCACACCGTTTGACTTTCCAGCTCAACATTTATCATTTGGTGGTTTGAGTTTATAGTCAAGTATTTCCTACATTATTTATCTCAATAATACATTAATTCATCAAATTTATCAATTGATTTCATTATCAAAATTTAAGATTTAATAATTATTGATTAATAATAGGGTTTTAACAATACTCCTCCTATCTATATGTCATCTTAATAAAAGTCATGATAAACTTGAACTTAAAATTAAAAAAAATATCTCTTTAAAAACTTGTCTTGAGTTCAAGTTGAAGGAAATTTGATCTTATCAATATTATGATTTAATTATTTCAAGCCCAAATATCAAAGTATAATTAAATTTTAAGTTTTAATCATAAATAATATTCAACCATTATCAATGTATAATGTTAAGCAAAGGATAAATGTAAGTTAATCATTTTTTGCATAAGCATATGAGTTGTATAATAAAAAAAAATCATATGTCAAAACATAAGTTGCTTCTCCCTATTAGCACATAAACTAAGGCAAAACAATGACATAAGCAAAGCATGAGTTACTTCCCCCTTTGTCATCAACAAAGAAAAATATATAAGAACAAATCAAGTTATTCGGGTGGTGGTAGTACAAAATACAAAATAAAATATAAAAATATTTATCAAAAGTGTCAAGATGTTGTTTTCTCCTTTTTTTTTTTTTTTAACCTAGCATTCTAGTGAAGGCTATGTACCATTATTTAAAAAAATTTAATAGGTTTAGTTCTCTTCTAATAAAATCAAATTATTCTTTACTATAATATTTTATAAAGATATCTATCAATTAATATTTTATATTAATAAAGTCTAATAATATATCATAATTGTTAACATGATCGTCAATAAAATGATGATTAATACCAATATGCTTAGTTTAAGAGTGTTAAATATGATTTTTTTGGCAAACAAATTATATTAGTATTATCACATTTTATAAGTATATTTTAAAGTAAAGTCCATAGATTTTTAAATTATGCTTTATCTAAATTACCTATATACAATATACACTTGTAATAACATATTTTACTATAGTCGTAGAAGTGCAATAGAATGTTACTTTTTTGGATGATGGAAAAATAAATGCATAGTCTAAGAATTAACAAATTTTAGAGGTATCTTTTCTATCTATTTTACATCTTATAAAGTTAACATAAGGAATCAAATCTTGTAGCAAAATTTGATTTTTTTTAAAAATAATTTAAGCTTAAAAGATATTAGAGCTCCTATGAGAATATATTATTCCAATAAATAGTGGTTCTATTGGATCTGGTAAAGTTTGCCAGCCAATTAGTAATCTTGTTGCCTTCACAATAAATATATTTAATAGTAAAAGCCTCAAAAGAGTGAATTATATACAAGATGCTGCTAGTAATGTTTAAGATGCTTCACAGTTCAAAAGTTTCTTTCACATGTGGATCCACCAAGACTTGGGAGTCAATTTCCACAATAATACATGAAATACGCTCATGCTTGGCAGCATTAAATCCTTCCAAAAATGTAGTAACTTAACAGTATAGGATGTTCTTATTCTCCATAAATCTACAACCAGCGAAACATAGAAACCATCGACCAAAACATAGAAATCATCGTATCATCTGATAAAGAACCATAGCCCATATCCTCAAGATCGTTCCAAGAGCCATCACAATTGAACTTGAACCAACAAGTGTTAGGTTTCTCCCATATAACTGGGAGTTGACCTATCTCCCTATAGGTTTCTCCCATATAACTGGGAGTTGATGTATCTCCCTATAGACCTTAGAAATAACTGGGAGTTGATGTATCTCCCTATAGACCTTTTAATAAAAATATCGATTTTAAAAAATCTTTGTTCGACAAAAATGATAATGAAAGCGTAATTGACTTAAAAGTAAATGAACGTATCAATGAAACATAGAAAGAAAGTGCAAATCAGATTTATAATGGTTCGGTCATCGTGACTTATATCCACTTTCGATTCCTCTTTCGTCAAGGCCACCGACGTTCACTAATGATCTTCTTTCAATTGGTGAATATCAACTACCCTTTTACAACTATTTCTCCTTTTCATAGGTTTAGAAGACAACCTTTACAAGCTTCACACCTCTCTTAGACTAAGCCCGAAACTTAAAAGAGGAGGAAGATACTTAGCACTTTTTCAACTCAGAATAACAACCTCCTTTTGCTCTTTTTTTCTTGCTATCCCAAGCAGGAAAGAGTGGGGTATTTATAGTGGATTCAAATTTGGAGCCAAGTAGGTTCTCATCCCGGGTTTTTCGGGTACTAGCGGTACCACCACTAATACTGGGTGGCACCACCGCTAGTACTGGGTGGTACCACCACTTGCAGACTGACACTAAGCGGTACCATCGCCTAGTTTGGTAGTACCACTACCTAACACTGGGCGATACCATTGTCCTGTCTGGCGAACCACCGCCTAATAGCCTCGGAGATAGGGCTCTTGGAGATTGAGCCTTTAGCGGTGCCACCGCTTGTCCCAACTTTTGGGTCACTAAATGG